TTGATTGTATCACAAGATTCACCACTGAAGACTCATCTTCCACATTATATGTATTCACACCCCTGAGCCCCATTTTCATTTCGGTGGCTTGTGAAGTTTGTGATATTTGTATTAGAGGCATCATAAAGACACAGAAGCCATGATTGATGAGAGCATATGACAGACAGCAGGAAGGCACTGGACAGGTGGGTGGCCACAGGCAAATGTGGAATGTGGCCTGTCTCCCGTCTTGAGCCCACAGGAAGAAGACAGAGTGGGGACTAGAAGGGCAGAAGGGCTCATGCCTGGACGTAGAAACCCCTCCTCTTGACCCTGGGCAGTTTTTGTTGTTGTTGCTGCTTTAGAAGAAAGGGGAAGCAGCTTTCCAGGAGAAGCCCTGACGTAGAGAAAGGTTGTGTGTTTACACATCTGAGCATTGTTAGGGATTTTAAAATGACATGACCAGGAACCGTGGACCTGGGAATGGACATTTCTATAAAAATTCCATTTCAGGCGTTAACTTGAACGGGTACAATTGACCCTTGCTCCTTTACCCCCCAAAGTAGCAAATTGTTTGATCAAGATCAAAAACAAGTCGTAACCACACAGGCCTCTGCTTAACAGTTCAACATTCTAGCAAAGTTAATCAAAATGTTTCTATTTGCGGTAGAAGAGAGAGCAGGCAGGAAAAGGGAGACCGAGAGAGGGGGCGAGAGCGTGGCAGAGATTCAGAAAGTACGCTGTTTGGATTTTTACAAGTTTCCTACTTTGACACGTCTATACCTCCGAGTTTCTGAGTGTACAGAGGTGGGGGGGGGGAAACAACTGTGCACAGTCTGCTAAGCTAACACGGCCTTCGAATTCCCAAACCGAACACAGTTTGGTTTAGGTGTTTCAACAGCGGCAAAACCAAGCTGTCCACAGAGAGGAATGCCAGAGGGGGCCAATTAGGGAGGAAGAAATTAAAGGGAAGAATAAAGAAAAGAGAAAAGCGCACATGAAAGGTCCAGCGCAGAGTGAGTGACAAGCCGGGAGAATGGCAGCCCGGGCAGGGGGGCGGCCGGCAGCGGAGGTGACGAGGCG